TCGCGCCCGTGCCGCTCCCGCCATCTGCCGCACCGTCGACAACCAGTGAGCTCGACGCGTTCCTGGTAGAGATGAAGGACTTGGGCGCGATGTAGTAACATTGACAATGCTGTCGTTACTGCCTCTTTGTTGGACGGTGGACGGTGGACCACTGCCAAGACAGCTTGGTGGCGTCGAGTTCTCGTATTAGCCTTCTGTACACCCGTTGCACTAGACCAAGCTCCCGCCTGCTGCCGCACCGTCGACAACCAGTGAGCTCGACGCGTTCCTCGTCGAGATGAAGGACTTGGGCGCGATGTAGTAATATTGACAATGTTGTCGTTACGGCCTCTTTGTTGGACGGTAGACCACTGCCAAGACAACTTGGTGGCGTCGAATTCTCGCACTAGCCTTCTGTACACCCGTTGAACTAGACCAAACAGCCTCCGAGTTGATAGATAGATAGATAGATGGAATGATTGATTGATGGATAGATACAGACAAATGCACTAGTCTGGCTCGTACTTTGGCTGCGAATGTACACGTTGCACTCGCTGCTACACGACGGCAGCTTCCGCGTCGGCCTCGGGGGCGGGCGGGGGCTTCATCTGCCGGCGGTCGACGACCATCGTGAGAGCGGTTGCCACGATCACACACCGGAGGACCGTGCCGTTGAAGGTCCTATGGTTGGGACTATTGTCGGTCAAGCTACAGACGCACCTCATTCTCGGTCGTGACACGCGCGCCCGCTGCACCACGCAAGGTCGAGCATCGATGCATGTAAATGCATGGGATAGCTCGCGAGACAAGACACAAGTGGGGTTGGCGGCGACGAGGCAGCGATCGGCTACGAGTCCATGACACTGTAGAGAGAGGGAGCAAGACGATCCATACGACGATGTGCGTGCGACGGTGCTTGTAGCTGGACACGAAGGCACAATAAAGTCGAGTCCTGGACGCAACGGTCGACACACTATTGCTTGCTTTACAATCGTGTCCACGCCCCGTCGACAATTAGATGCAAAAATGATATATCGATAATACATGATGTATGCCCTAGTCGTCCCGATTCTTCTTGCTCTTGACCTTCTTGACGACGGTTGTGGCCGAGACCTTGGCGACGTCGTGGCCAAAGAGCTTCGAGACTTCGAGGCCGGACGTGAACGCCGAGTTGAACATGACGCGCTGCTGGAAGAGCGAGAGGAACGGCATGAACATCGCAATGAACAAGATCGGGCCAAACACGATCCAGCCGACGGCGCGGTCAAAGCCGCGGGCAATGGCCGCGACAACCACATGGCTGCTCTTGAGGCGCACAATCATGACTTGGTCAAACCAGTAGACGGCAATGAGCAGAATCAGCGTCATCTCGACCAAATCGCGAAACGAGAGGTAGAGGAGCGACCCAAGCAGCAAGAGAAAGACACACGCCGAGATGCGAAACTTCATCTTCCGGAGCTTCTTCTGCTTCATTTGGCTCTTCTTCGCGTACCGGCTTGCGCAGTAGCCGACGAGGGCAAACAGCAGCAGGACAATGACAAACCCGCCGAGGATCATGTGCGGCGTGAAAAACTCGAGCGCGTTCGTCGACGAGAGCTTCTGGACCACTTGCTTCTTGACGTCCGTGTAAAAGAGACGGTACATGAGCTGGAGGTAGAGGCCGACAGCGACAAAGAAGAAGCGCGCCTTGCGCGCAAACTGCACAAAGCGTGCGAGACCCGACGAGTGCTCCAAATACTCGAGCTCGGCCGTCCACCAGCCAAACCACGAGTCACTCGAGTCATTCTTCGTCTCGAGCCAGTTTTGCCAGTCGTTGTAGTCGTCAATGAGCTTGTCCCACTCGAGCCCGCTCGGGTTGAAGAAGAAGGGTGCCCAGAGCCACGTCGCGGCCACAATCCAGAGCGAAAAGCTCATGATCGCGTAGCTCTGGTTGGTCGGGAGCACGCAGTCTTGGTAGTGGTTGGCATAGCAGCGCGCGTTCCAGTCGGCGACCGGCGGCTTGACGCCATTGTAAAAGCCGCGGTCCAGCGTCCAGTCGCAGTTGCACCACGAAAACGTCCCGTACGCTGCAAACAAGACGAGCAAGAAGACGAGCTCGACGCCGCGGTAAAAGTGGCTAAACGCGTAAAACCGAAAGAGCTCGGCAAACTTCTCGTGCTTGATCGTAAAGCCGCGACCGGTCGCGCGGTACTTGGCGCCGCCGTGGATGAGCGTCCGGTCGAAGTAGTGCATGCGGTTGCCCATTTGGAACGTAAAGAAGAGCGGTCCGAGCGTAAAGACGTTCCAGAGGAGGTAGCTGATGCCGTGGCGGAAGCCACGCTCGACACCGACGACGGCAAGGACCGGCACGACGAGAAGAAAGCCAAACTGCAGCGCCCACGACGCGTTGAGCGAGTCCGAGATCCCCATGCGACCGGCTTGGAGGTAAAACGCGTCGAGGCCAGACAAGGCAAAGTAGATCTTGCCGTAAATGAAGAAGTAAATGCCAAAGACGGTCATCGTCTGCGTAAAGTACCAGCCGAGGTTGCCGTAGAACCACGAGTTGAGCCGCCAAAAGTCGAGCCGGTTGGCCATGCGCATGACGTCGCGGGAGATGACGCTTTCGCCCGCACCAGACGAGAGCTTGGCTTCAAACTGCGCGAGCTGCTGCATGCCGACATCACGACCCTTGCCCACTTGGATAAACTCCTCGTGCGAGACGCGGCCGCCGCGGAGCGTCGTGTTGAAGCCGGCAAAGATATCTTCCGAGAGGTTGATGCCCTTGGAGGCCTTGGCCGTCCCGCCCGTCGTCATGACAAACGTCTTGTCGAAGATATCGGGGTGGCCGTAATGCTGGCGGACGTGGAAGAGCGCAAGCATGCGCTGGCCCTGCGAGACAAACGAGAGCTCCTGGATCTGCATGAACGACGCGAGGTTCGAGACGCCGCCAGTAAAGACGTACTCGCGGAAGCCAATGATCGTGAGCGGGTGCTTCTTGTGCTCCTTGCGGTCGACGGTCGCGAGGAGGTTGGGCATCTTGAGGCACTCTTCGAGGTACCCGTCTTGGTTCATATCGATACACTGGAGCATCTCGCCGCGCGTAAAGATGATCGCGTGGTTTTGGTTCTCCGGCTTGCCTTCGCCGACGATCGGGTTGCCCGGCAGCTCGACGCGGTAGACTTCAATGATCTTGTCCAAGACGCCGCGGATGAGCACCGAGAAAAACTTGGGCGGGCCGTCCTTGACCTTCTTCGGGCCGTCGACGTACGCGACACGCAGGCCCGGGTGCTTGAGGAGGAGAAACTCAATGTCGGCGGCTTGCTGGCGCTGCTCGTCCTTTTGCTTGCCGTACTGCTGGCACGAGCAGACGTACGAAAACTTGAGCGCGACCATGTCGTCGAGGCGGAGGCACCGGTTGCAGCGACAGCCCGTCAAGTGCATCGGCTCGTTCTGGCCAATCTCGAGCCAGTACAAGAACCGAATCGCCTCGGCGTTGTACATCATGCCACGCACCGTGCGGGCGAGCGTCTGCCCGCGGTACGATGCCCAGAGCTGGACTTCTTCCGGGCACTTTTTGAGCGCTTCGTTCATGTCCTTGCAGTTGACGCGCTCGATAAAGTTGTCCCACTCGTGCGGGTAGATCGTCTGGAGGTAGTAGAGCAGCTTGATGCAGTCGTCGTTGGCGGCCGTGAGGTCCTTCACCGAGTACAAGACGATCTCGTTCAGAAACGGTGTCGAAATCGAGAACGACCGCATCGTCCGAAGCGGCTTGGCCTCGGGCATCTCCATGAAGAGCGAGTTGGCAAAGAAGCGCAGCCGGCGCTGGCCTTCCTCGGCCCGGGGCTCCGCATCAAAGTTGTCGACGGTCAAGAGCTGGTACGCCCGGGAGACAATGTCCATTGCGACCGGGTCTTGCACAAGCGCGAGCAGCTGCCGGTGCGCGTACGTCTGCTTGTCGCCGGGAAAGAAAAACGAGTTGGGCTTGAGCGGCGTCTCGGCGAGGATCTTGACGAGCCGGTCTTGCTTGGAGAGGAGGACTTTGAGCGACGCAAGGACCGCCTCGACATTGTCAATCACGTGGTACAAGGCGCGTTGAAACTTGATGCTGGCGTCGTTGGCCGTGATCGGGACTTCCAAAATCGACTTCATGAGTTCGGCGGCCGCGGCGCGGCAACTGTAGAGGCTGCTCAGGTGCAGGCCCTTCATGACACCGTTCGTACTGACGCACTCTTCCATAAACGCAAAGCAGTCGTCCATTTCCTTGTGCTCGCGCCCGAGAAGGAGCCGCGTGACTTGGGTCGCAAACTTGTAGCTGCCGCAGATCGACTGGAGCCGAAGGTCGTCCTTGATGAGCCGCTTCTTCATCGCCGACTCGATCTTTTGCAGAATCGAGCCCTTCTTCTTGTCGGCCTTGAGCTTCTCGTACACGGCGTAGCACTCGGTGATGATGTCGAGCGACTCGTCGAGCTTGCCGGCCGTCAAGAACGCGGGCAAATACAAGCGGCGGTTGGCCGACCCGACGTCGGCCGAGTCAATGAGGTAGCTCAAGACGTTGAGCTCGCGGTTGCTAAGGACGTCGGCGTCCCGCATCGACGTGAGGCACCGGTTCCACGCCATTGCAAACGGTATCGTGCGTTCAAACTCGGCGCCCGAGACACCCGTGATCGAGTCAATCGTCGAGTGGCCGCTCTGGCTCTGCGACAGCGCGTGCGGCGATGCGACTGCGTGATACCCATCGTGCTCAAGCAGCGACGAGAAGCCCTGGGCGTGGATCGTCATGGGCTGCGCGCCGTCCGAGTACGAGATGCGTTCAAAGCGGCGCTCCGGCGGGCGCTCGTCGGGCTTGCGCTGCTTCTTCTGCTTCTTCTTCGGGACCTTGTGCTCGATCAAGTTGGCAACCATCTTCTTGTTGAAGACCTTTGGGATCGACTGGAACGCCATGCGCAGAATGCGGAACGACCGGAGCTCGCCAATGCGCAGGTTGAAGCCGTGGACCGAGCCCACGACGACCGAAAGCAAAAGGTACAGAATCTGCGCGTCGTACAAAATCACCATGACCGCGGGCACCCACAGAAAGAAAATGTACAGCACGTTGTAGACCGGCAGCTGCAGCATAAAATGCGACACGAGCAGATACTCTTCCGTCTTGGTGAACCAGATGAAGAGCGACGTCTCGACGAGCGTCTTGACCATGACTTGGTACTCAAACGTGAGCTTCCCGAGGTACAAGACGACCCAAAAACACGTGTAGCGACAGTATGCGCCGCAGGGCACGGGCAGCGACCGCCCGATGAAGCCAACGCCGACGCGCGAGAAGAGTCGGCCCGAGAGCTCGCACACAAACACCAACGCGACGAGGCCCGCGCCGCCCATCATGATGAGCGCGCCGTCGTCCGCGCGGCCGTTGCCTTTGAATTTGACGAGGGCCCTCCCAAGTACCGGTAGCACGTCCGGCAGCTTGAGGATCTCGAGCGTGCACGCGTCGCAGTTGAGCTTGCCGTCGCCCGCCTTGTTGAGCACGTCAAAGGCCGCTCTGCGGTAGTCCGGAATGCACTTGGTGTTGTTAAATGTGCCCGACTGAAGCCGCGTCGCGTCGCCGTCGAAATAGGCGATGGGACCCGCGTCATTAAAGCAGCTCGTCAACAGCTCGCGGTAGCAGCTGCAGCGGCCCGTCGTCTTGGCCACGCAGTCGGTGAACGGAATGTCGGCCATGAGCTCGGCAAAGTCGCGCGGGATCTTGGCGAGCGAGTTGCCCGCGTCAAAGTTGGGCACACTGAGGCACGTGACGAGCTTCCCGACGTTGCACTCCTTGTCGACAAAGGCGTCCGAGGTCAGTGGCGTCTCGACCAAGTCGCGGTCGCCGTTGACGGTGGTGCGGTAGCCCTTGCCGAGGATCCTCATGTCGGGGTTGACGCTGCTGCCGTACATGATGGCCGAGTCGGGGCAGACGAGGATCATGTTGATGGCAAAGCCAATCGTCGCGGCAAGGAGCGCGAGGTTGAAAAAGAAGATGCGCCGGAACGAAAGCAGCGCCCGGAGCCAGCTGCGGCGCTCCATAAACGTCTTCTTCACGAGCGTGAGGCTGCCCTTCTTGTTGGCTTTGGCGAACGCGTCGCCGATCGTATACGCCGTGTGCTTGAGGCATTTTTTGGTCCAGAAAAACTCGTTAAAGTCATCGTAGTTGCGGATCTCCGTGTGCGGCGACCGCGCGCCCTTGACCGTCTTCTTGTCAGCTTCGTTGCGCAACGAGGCGTACATGGGCCGGATCACGGATGCGAGGTAGTCGCCGGCCTCCTTGCCGCCGCCACGCCCGACCTCCTTGGCGAGCGAGTGGTACAAAAAGCAGAGCAGCTCCGGCGTTTGCCGAAAGTTGCCAGCCTCGCCCCAGATGAGGAAGAAGAGCACAATGTCTCGAAGCGGGTCGGCAAAGACGGGCTTGGTACCGAGGTACTTGGCCCATTTTTTGTAATTGTCAAACAGCTTGGCGTGAAAGCTCTTGAGCACGGCGGTGACCAGCGCGGCCTCGTGCGCCGGGTCGTCGCTGCGCTTGTCGCTGCGCTCGACGAGATTGGTCAAGAGCAGCAAAAGGTGCTCGCGCTGGTTGGCCACGTTGGCGTCTTGAAAGCCCAGCGCTCGCTGGCACTGCTCAAACGGATCGTTCCTACACACCAAGTGCAATCTCAGAAAGGCCAAGTGCAACGTCGAGCTCGTACGAGGCAAAGACGCGGGCCACCGGATGGTACATGCGCGGCAGGTCGTCCATGTCGAGGATGTTGTACTTGACGGCGAGCTTGCGCGCACTGGCCGTCGCGGGCACCTTGGCGCGCTGCGCCTTGATCATGTTGACGTAGCGCGTCATCTTGGCGTTGAGCCGCGCCGCGGCCTCGAGGTCCTCGGCGGTCTTGAACGGCAGGTTCAGCGCCCGCTCAAAGACGTCAATGACCTGCGTAAAGTGGCGGTCCGCGGCCTCGACGTCGCCGGCATTCTGAAAGTTGACGGCCGCGTTCACGAGGCCCATGCCCTCCTCGTACCATTGCTGCTGCGTCCGAAGCAGGTGCTGCGCCGGCGGCGCGCCACTTGCCTGTCGCCGCATGCTGCGTCAACGGATGCTACAAACCGACTGTGCTGTGCTGGTCGGCGGTCGCCATTCGACCCATCTGGGCGACTCAGAATCCACATGTGCCTAGGGTTTAGAAAGCCGGCAGCGTGGTCCTCGGCCCTCACGACAAGGCGACGGCGACGACACCACAGGTGGCTATCGGTAGCTACGACGCCTGCGATGCCAGCGCCACGGGCGGCGTAAGAGAGAGAAGATGCGGCCCATGGACGTCGCGGTGACGAAGAACGGCACCGACAGGAAGCGCGTGCCATCTGGTTTGGCGTCAAAAGTTGGCGTTCCCACCATGGTCGTCGGAAGGGGATGGTGTCGCTGACGCAAGGCGACCACGAAGAGGATGGCGTCGTACTGACAGGTACGTACCAGCAAGGGTCCATCAACTGCTTATGGACCCTTGGTACGTCGTTGCTACCAAGATAGCAGCAGCCCAAGCTCTGCGACCAAACTACAAACCTAGGTTCAAAACTAAGCTAAACGCCTAAGTGTCAATGGACGCGAATTGACAGAGAAGCGCGTGGGACTGGCGATGCGACGACGGCATTACGCTACGGCCAGGACGGTATGGATGGACGATGTATCTCGTCGGACGAGAACACACAAGTGCTTTCGGAAGCATCTATCTACTGAACGGCAAAGTGCAAACTCGAGTCGCTAGGGGGTCCGAGCCCACGCAGCGTACTCGGTTCGTGGTATCGCCTCGGTGGATGAGCGTGCAAAGCTGTGGGTCAATTGCTATCGGTGCGAGCTTGTTACTCGCCTTGCCACCCACAAACGCGGGCAGTGAGCTACACTTACCAGGCACATGGACAGTCCAGTGCCACGACGACGACGTGCGCATGACGAGGCCTCCTGGATCTGCCAACAACTCTGGATCGCCGCCAATGTCGATGGCTCGAAGCTCCTCTATGTAGAGCCTTGGACGATTACAGGAGGCAGTGACGACCGCTTGCGTTTGGAAACTCTGTTTTACCCACACTGGATTTGCTGCACGAACACTGGAAGGAGGAGCAAAACGGCGCGGATTGGCTGAAAAGCGACGAAATCGTTGCGATATGCACCAATCCAGTGTGTGGAATATGCGATTAGCATGTGGATTGGCTAATATTCGATCACATGCCAAGATGAGCGATTCGGACGAAGGCAGCGAGAGCGGGTCCGAGGCCGCGCCGTCGCCGACGTTCGCCGTCTACTACGAGGGCGTGGTCCGGCGCAAAGCAGGCCAAAAGACCTTGTACGTCCTTCGCACCATGGCATGCCACGTCATGGCGACCCTGTAGGAAGCCATGCCGGCTTCAAGTCCAGGCCGGCGGCCTTCTCGCCGACATGGATCGGGACCGAATCTACCGCCTCCTGCACGTGCACGAGTGGCTCATTGACAAGAAGCTCAAGGGTGTTGAAGCCGAGAACGTCGGGCTGCGTGTCGACTGCCAGCGCGAGCTGTGTGGGAGCGGGTCCGACGACGACGACGCCGGCAAGGTCACGACGTTATGGCTCGTGCTGGCCAAGGAAGCCGACCGCCGGCAGTGGAAGCTCTTCTTACTCGCGTCCTTGTACCCCCAGAGCAAGGAGGCGAGCCAAGCGCTGCAGTACCTCGAGCAGGTGGCGCAGCAGGAAAAAGTACAATTACACGGAAATATCGCCATCCTGCTGAGCGACGACACAGATTCGCCAAGCCGAGGTCGAGCGCCGCGCGCGCATTGCAACAGAGCAGCAAGAGCACGAAGAGCTGCAGCGCTCCAAGAGTCTCCGGCTCAAAGCGAGTGCGTCCATCTTGCATCATCGTCATCGTCCGCAGCTTCCTTGTAGAAAAGAAGGCCAAAGAGAAAGCTGCCAAAGGCCCCAAGGTACGAGCTAGCAGCTCCAATCTTTCGAGCTAGCTCGAAAGACGACCTTATGTGTAGAGTGACTGGAAGGCATATGAGGCCGAGGACGGCCAAGTCTACTACTTTAACGCGGTACGTGGCTCGTCCAAACACTGCTGGATAGCATTGACGCTCATGAGAATAGCGTACGGGCGAGAGTCGATGGGACAACCCAGAGGCCCCGGCGTCAGTCGCCGTCGTCACCCCGCCTGCTACCGACGCCTCGCCGGTGCTGGAACGCCGCCGATCGTCCAAGAAGCAGCCCAAGGAGTCGGCAGATGCGAGCCCGATTCGACTCGAGGAAGCACCTGTCGTCACGAGCGACGACGAGCCCGTGGTCGTTGCCATCGAGCCACTGCCGGTGCGTACGACCCAACAACGCCTATAGGCATCTTGAAAGCTCTGCAGGAAGCCGCCATGGCATCCAAATCGTCGAAGAAGAAGCTTCGGTTCGAAGGCGACGACAGCGACGAGGACGTGTCAAAGAAGAAGACGATGGCGGCGACGCTCGAGAAGCTCCTCGGGTGCTTGACCGTCTCGAGAGGCTCTCTGACACACTGTGTCTAGCGCGGGGCCACAACCCATCATGAAGCGCACGCCAAGCTCCAGCGACGACGTTGTCGACGGGACGGAAGCCGTGGACCCGACCTTGTCGACGGCCGAGCGCCTCCGGGTACAAGCTGCGTTCTATCTCGTGTTGGATCTCGACACATGTATGCCATAGCTCAAGCGCCAGCAGCGGCAAGGCAGTTTGTTTGCAATGGAGGAAGACGACACGGATGCTTTTCTGCGGGAGCTTGAGCTCAAGAAGAGCGCCCAAGCCGCCACGACGGCCGCCAAGGATGCGGATGCGGACAAGGATGCGGACGCGGATCCGTTTTCGTTTCCAATGGACGAGTGGGGGGATGTCGAAGCACAGGTGCTGCAAGAAGCCGCTGCCCACACCAGCAACGAAGCAGTCCGTACTGTGCCAGACGCGCCGGTACCTCCACCACCTTTCCATGCACGCGATGATGCCACTGCGTAGGTCGACGAGGTCGCTGAGGTCGCCGAGGTCACGGTAAAGAAAGTGAAAAAAGCAAAAAAGCTCAAGACGCCGTCGCCACCTGCGCCGCCACCTGTCGTGCAACACGACGACCCAGTTATGGTGCGTACAAGGACGTGTCGTAGTCGATGTCGATGCATTTCGTCGCCGTAGCCGCTGCAGAAACCACCGAAAAAGATGATTCCCAAAAAATTAGCAAGAAAAAGAAAACCAAACCCGCGCTCGAAGCGTCGACCTCGTCCAGCGACGCGCCGATCGAGGTACTCGTCCTATCGACGCCGACAGTGTAGCATCCCATGGGCGACACCTCTCTAGGCACCGGTGGCGAGAACAAAGCGGTCGACCAAACCACCCAAGAAAGTCAACGTGCTCGACGACAGCAGTAGTCCAAACGAGGTGCGGTGCGAAGGCCCAGCGATCGTCGTCATGCAGAGCTGCTAGGCCGTCCCCACGACAACGCCCGTCGTCGACCAAGCGGTAACCACGTCATCGACATGGCACCACCAAGACACTCGTGACGTAGGTCGCGTCACACGAGCCCTTGCCGGCACTCTCGCCCAATAGTGTAGGAAACCTTGGACACTCGACTAAATGGTGACGTGCCGTGCGTAGCCCGACGCGTGGTCCGAGCACACGGCGCCGGACGGCCGCACGTACTACTACAACGCCGTGACCCAAAAGAGTGTGTGGATCCAGCCCGCCGAGCTCGCCAAGGTGCGAGAGATTGCGCCGCCATCCCCGCGCGCCGACCCGCCAGCGTCCCAGCGTACGTCGTCTCTTTTTTTCGCAAAAAAGTATCAAGGTATCAAGTGGTAGACACGGCGATTATTGCGTTCGACGCCACGCGTCCCGTGGCCGAGCTGCTGCCGCCGCACGTCGACACGCAGGACCTCTCGCTCTGCCCGCATTGCAAGGCCGTGCCGCCCACGCAGCGGTACAATCCCTATCACTTGGATCCAGTGTCGAAATAGGGGTAGGTGTTTGGAGTGCGCGACGATCTTTTGCGACGCGTGCGTGGTCGCGCAGCACCAGCGCTATGGCACGCTGCTCAACCACACGTTGGCGCTCGTGTCGGGTACGATGATGCACACTATTGTCTGCTAGAGTGGTCGATATGACACTATGTCTATTAGTGCCGTTTTGCCAGTGCTGCGAGTCGGCGAGTGCGACGCAAGAGTGTCTCGAGTGTCTCCAGCGACACCTCTGTGACGCGTGCGCGTCGTTTGTGCATCGCAAGCCACCCAAGCACACGCACACGCGCCGCCCGATTCTCCAGTACGATCGTTGCTACCTTGATACCTTGATACATGGCGTCGATCGCGTGTGGTAGACCCCCGACGGCGTCCACGCCGCCTGTGCCTTCCGCACCTGTGCCGTTTCCGAGTGGCTATGCGATGCAGGCGCCAAGCTTCCCGCACATGCCGCCGATGGTCATGATGATGATGCCGCCCATGATGATGATGCAAGGCGGCTATGGAAATGCCAGTTTGTTTGGTGGCATGATGCCGGGACCGATGCCGGGACCGATGCCGGGACCGATGGTAGGTCCCGAGGCGCCACCGTCGATGTACGGACCCGCCCCGGCCAAGCAAGAACCGGCGACCTGCGGCGGCTGGGGCGTCGACTTCGTGCAGGCGAGTGGACGGTACACCTGGCGAGTGGACGGTACACAGCATGCCCACGATTGATTCTAGCTGTCGTCACTGCGAGCGCCTTGCGAGTGCACCGGCACCGGCGTTGACACCAGCTTCGACACCGGCGTTGGCACCGAGTGTACTAACCAAGGACGTGGTGGTCCAGCCCACGACGGACCTCGGCGACATCGAGTGGGACGACGACTCGTCCGACGGGTGGGCGTCCGACTAGTCGGTTCACCAGCGACTTCAGTGTGTCCACCAGCGACTTCAGTGCCAACATAACACGTACACCACGTACAGATTGTCCCGTCGCTTCGTGGTCGCCACGGGCGATATCGACGGTATATCGCTGAGCTGTAGCAGTGAAGACAACGAAACGTCTCTGGTTGCTCGCCTCCGAGCTGCAACTGCGTACTAGTAGTACGATGGGAGGAAGAGGCAGCGAACGCGTTCTTGATATTCTCTTTGATTGCCCGGTTGGATGCAAACGCTGCTGTGGCTACTCCCACTGTGGCGCCAACTGAGACTGGCGTGCACGCTGACGTGGCTTGGATGCACCCACCCGTCGATCGAACGTGTGACCAACGTCGAGGCGCGCGCCTCTCTGCAGCAATGTACATCACGTTACCTACTGCACAAGGTACAGAAATACTTTCAAGGACTCGACTAACGTAACATGTAGGCTTGCGGCTATGGACGATCCTGGCTGGTCTCGTTGCGAGTCGACCAAGCAGCTGCGAATCCAAACGAAGGGATCGGCGCCAAAGGATTCGCTGTCGGCGCTGTCGATGCGTCCGCAGAACGTGGCGGGTAGGCCAAAGAAGACAATATCTTCCACTTCATGGTAATGCCATTAGGTCGAGAGACGTACGGAGGAGTGCGCCGCCTTCCAGCGACGGGAACGTGGCAAGGAGAAAGTGCATCCCACTTTGCCTTTCGTGGCATACTCCCTTAAAACAACGCCGCGTCCCGTGGCACCATCCACGCCCATAAACACGGGATGCTCGTCGCTGCTGCAAAAGCATGCGCGTGTGACAAGCGCGATTGAAGCAGGTCCATTGCCTGTCATCCACTCCCATCGACGGCGTCGTTCGCAGCACCGAAACCACCTTGCCGTTCACACAAGATTCGATCACGAAGAGGCCCACCACGCTACAGTACCTGGACGGATACGAGGCCAAGGACATTGTCACGTACTCAGTACAGTGTATTGCCAACCAGCAAACTACGCCTGCACGCCTGTACTAGGTGGCTAATCGTACGGCGACCGAGCGACAGATGAGAACTGAGTGGGGTTGGACCTACTCGATGGTAACGAGCCTCCTAGTGTTGTTTCTAGGGCATGTCCCAAGCGGTTCCAAGGAAGTTCCCGAACCTTGGTCCTTGTATACCTCGAATTCGACTTGGGTTTTGTATGGAAACCTCGTTGTACTTGATATTTGTATGGAATCCGGATTCTGGGAGAGGCAGTCAATTAGTATTTAACCCAGTCGAACGCAGTCATGGCGACCGTCGTCGTCAAAGAAGAGAGCTGTGGCGACGCGAGCTTCGGCGACGTGCTGAACGCGCTCTTGACGTCGCTGCCGTCGGACGCGTCCTCGGCCTTCTTCCGCTGCCTCGCGGGCTTGACGGCCGAAGAGTCCAACGACCTCGCCAAGTACGTCGTGCAGCTCAAGGAAGAGAAGAAGTTCCGCGTGATCCAAGCCATGGCCGACTCGACGATCCCAGCGAAGAAGAAGTTTCTCGACAGCCTCCGCCTCAAGTTTGAGCGGCTCAAGGCGCAGGCGCCGACCGATGGCCGGTATCGTCGCGTTGACGCGCATACTACGGAGGCTCACAGCAGGCGGCGAGTAGGGCGCCGCTGGCACGGACCAACTCGCGCCAATCGTCGCTGCTGCAAGTGACGTCGGAAGACATTAGCTCGATGCAGCACATGCTGGATAATGCGCACATTGGCGAAAGCGAGCTCCGCCTGCGCGACCTCGAAGAGTCGCTCCACAAGCCTGCCGGCGACGCGTCGTTTGGCCTCGAGCACAACAACTCACTGCTCATGCTCACGTACCTCGTCCTCGTATGGGTGTCGCGTTGCTCATACGCACCTTGTAGCTCCAAGCGTGAGCGCCCCAACAGCAACTGGGAGCTCCTGAAAGGCGAAGCCGCGCCGGCTCAAAAGACGTGCGTTGACGACGACGGCAGCGGCGACGGCGACGACGACGATGACGACGACGACGACGACGACGACTACCAAGAAGACGGTAGCAGCACAACCGCATCGACGTCGACGACGACGACGGACACGGGCAGTCTCCCGCCGGTCCCCGAGGTACTTGCACAAGCGACAGGAAGAAGCATGCTCATGGCGACGATATTGCGCAGATCAGTCCCGAGGATGCACCGTCGACGAAGCGCTGGACCAAGGCCCAAGACAACGCGCTCAAGGAGAGCGTCCAGCTGCATGGCGAGAAGAACTGGAAGGCGATCGCCGAGCGCGTGCCAGGCCGCAACCACGCGCAGTGCCTCCAGCGCTGGCGCAAGGTGCTCAAGCCGGGTCTTGTCAAAGGGCACTGGTCGTTTGAAGAAGACAAGATCCTCGAAGTCCTCGTCAAGCAGAGCTGCAACAACTGGGGCCAAATTGCCGATCAAATCCCCGGTCGGACGCCCAAGCAGTGCCGGGAGCGGTGGCGCAACCATCTCGACCCGTCCATCAACAAGGGGCCGTACACGGCCGAGGAAGACAAGGTCATTCTGAGCGCGCAAGCCCGGCTCGGCAACAAGTGGTCGCAGATCTCGCAGCTGCTGCCCGGGCGCACCGAAGACTCGGTCAAGATCCGCTGGAAGTCGCTCAAGCAAAACCCGGACCGAGCCAACCACCATCGCCGCCTCACCGCCGGCCACGCCCTCAACAGGTGCGGGATCGTTGCGTCGCGTGATGTCTAACTAAAGATGGCTAGTGGTATGAAACCCGCACCTGCAGCAGCAGCACCACGGCATGATGCCGGACCAGAAGCTCGCGGCCATGCATCACGCGTCGCAGTACCATCACGGCCCGACATCGTCGATGTTGGACGGCATGGCGGGTCTCAGCAACGGCAACGGCAACGACTGGGGTAATACCTATCCGCGACGTTATGGCGGTCTCTTGATACGATAATAGGCATGGGAGGCCATGGCATGCCGACGTACGGCATGCCGCCGCCGCCGGCCCAGGGCGGCTACATGGACCCGTACAGCTTGCCGCGGCCGCCGCCGCCGCAGCAAGGGTCGGAGGGCGCGATGAATGTGAGTGATTTCGACTCTTGGTACAGCGTCTAGTGGGCGGAGGGTTAAGGACATATATTTGATAATAGATGGGACTCCGCCACTCGTCTGGTTTTAATCCGCAGCAAGGAAATGCGATGCAGTACCACCACCCGCGCGACTACACGTACACGCCGGACGATCTCGTCATTAAGACGCTCACGGACGAGCTCGACTTTGATTTCGCCGAGTTTTAAGGGGACGGAGACGAATAATAGCGTCATGTGTACAGCACGACCACGATCGCCGTTTCTAGCGTCCACTTTGTGCGATGATGTCTCCAGGTATCACCTTGGCAGCAAAGGGTTAGGGTACCGAGCGGCCGGCCCAAGACCGCAACGGTACCTGTGTGAGTTCCCTTGAGGATAGGCACCGACCGAGTCTCAAGTCGAGTTCAGCGAGCATGGCCGATGCAAATACCCTTTGCGACCATGTGGCTTCTCCCTGCTTCGCATCAGGCAACAGGAGAGGATTACCGCACGTCGCAGAATCAATACAACCACAGTTCAAATGATCAGGTTCTGGTCGAATTCCTTCACTTAAGTGGTCCATTTTCATGAGTGTAAATTGGTCCACTCATCATGTTCACTGATCCCTTTTCCCCGCTTTTGAGCCAGAGAGCTCACTAAGTGTACTTATTGAATTACGGCCGCCCACCGACGAGACCTGATTCACTACATTAGCTGTGGCTCGTTGGTACTCTGATACGACACGCTGGGTAGGACCTTGGAACCATCCATCGCATCAAACCAACATGTGTTGCCATCAAGTTGCCAACGCCAACTGTATTGGTTCGAGGAGATCCTCGACGTGGCCGGTCTCGAGAGGCAGTCCTCTAGCCCCGAAAGATGACCCAGTGCGGACAAGGCAGCGACTTGATGGCGGCTCGGCACGCCCGAACGTGTGCACGCGGCACCGTCGCGCTGAGGACGAGAACGCCGGCGCGCAGGTTTCTCTCTGTACTGAGCGACGCGACAAGCGCCAAAACACCGGCCTCGCCGAGCGGATTCATCTGTACGTCGAGCATCCGCATGTGCGCCGTCTGCGACACCACCGTGCTGATGGCTTGGGCGCCGCCGCCGCCAATCCGGTTGCGGCTCAGATCCAGCACATCTAACGACGGCATGACGTGGCAGAGCGCGGTGACGCCACGGCACGTCACGCGGTTGCGCGCCAATCGAAGCGTGCGCAGCGAGGGCGGTTTCTTGGCCTGTGCGAGCGCGAGCGCAGTGGCGTCCGTGACGCCCTGCTGGTCGAGCGAGAGCACTTGGAGGTATTGGCACCGGTGCAAGGTGGCGATGAGCGGTAGAGCACCCGCGTCACCGAGGCGATTGGCGTCGAGGTGCAGCTCGGTGAGCTGCGGCAAGAGTGCGATGAGCGCTTCTCGATCGCAGTCGTTCTCGAGATCCACGTTTGGCAGCACGAGCGTGCGAAGACGATGGAGGTGCGGTCGCATGGCTACGACGCGGCCACGGCTGTGCATCAGGCATGCATAGTGTAGTGCCAGTGTCGAGAGCGAAGCAGCGGTGCGCCACTGCGGCAGCACCGACGCACCGTCGATACGAAGCGATCGCAGCGCAGACGGCAGCGACGCGCGCAGACACAGGGCGCGCTCGAGTTGCAGGCTCTCGATGCGCACGTCGCGAAGCGCTTGCATCGAGTCGACGAGGAGCGTGGCCGCGCGCATCGAGTCGAAGCGAAGCCCATGGAGCGCCAGCGACTGCACGCGAGACGTGCTTAGCCACATACCGAGACGCGTCGCCATGGCATCGTTCCAAAGCACTTTGCTCGCGTCGTTGAACGACAGCGCCAAATGCAACACGTTGCTTTCCAGTACGTCGCCAAGTACAAGGTGCTCGAAGGCGCCGTGGCTCTCGTCGAGTTGCCAGCGCAGACACAGAGACGCAAGCTGATGCTGCGAGCGAAAGCACGCGCCAAGCAAGCCCAGCGACGTCGGTGTCCATACATCGTCGACCAAGACGCGGTCCCAAAGGTGCAGCTCGAGCGCGACGAGCCGATGTCGCCATGGCGCCATGCACGCAGTACGGACCTCGTCGGGCGTCGAGAGAGTGGTCAGCGATAGCAGCGTCGCGGGGCGCACACCCTTAACTGCCTCAAGCGACGTTGTGCGTACGATCGGAAACAGCTCCATGCAGTCGCTCACGTACTGGTGCAGCGAGGCGTCGTGCGGCAGCTCGAGCTCGGGCCAGATGCGGAGGCCGGGCGTGTGCATGCTTGCCGACAGCAGCGCACGGAGGCTTTGGAACGGTAAGCGCATCGCAAGTCTGCTCTCGAATGCACTGAGGTAGCGCAGGAGGTCGTAAGGCTGCGCGATGAAGACCGCGATGAGCTCGACGAGCTCGGGTAGCATGGTCGCCACAACGGTATCTTTGGCATGGACCAATCATGAACCGAGAAATCTTTTGAATCCACCAATCACAAGCGGCGATTCGGCAAAAGATCGCGGTCGGCGATCGAGTGGCAGTCGAACGTCGAGCCCTTGATGGCGATGGCATTGGGTACGACACCTTTCTAATCTGCAACCAGATCGGATCTGGAAAAAGTTGCCAGTGCTGGAATCGAGTTCCGTACCACACTGTACAGTACCGACGAGTGCATTGCAAATTATGGGCCATCGGCTTTCGACGTCCGCGTCTCGACGTTTTCGACGAGTCCACTTCACAGGAACCTCGTATTGGGGTATGAAGCCGTCAAGGACATTATTCATTTGTGTCTTTGGCTGCCATAGTTCAGCTGCGTTGTCCCGTTGACTGTCCAACCGTCACGCCCTGGAGACGTGCGCTCAAGCTGCGAAACAACGAGTATGTAATACATGTAGGTTGTCAAAGGACCGCTACAGCTGGTCTACACGAGGGTAAACTCGGTCATCTCGAGGCGGACAATCGCAAACAGTGCTTCCTTCAAGAGCGCTCGCGTCGGGTAGAGCGGCAAGTCGATGCGGTTAAAGCACGCATGCGCTCGCGGAAGCGCACCGGACTTGTACTCGATCGCCTGGAGCGAGAACGGGCACAAAAGGCCATCGTAGCTCGTGAGCCCTTTGAACCCTTGGAGCGGCACGCGCGACGAGCCGGTCGCAAACTGCAGCAGCCGCGACCGGTCGTCGTCCGTCATCTCGTCTTTCAGAATGGCCCAGAACCAATCGTTGCAGTTGGTGATGGCGAGCGAGAACGAGACGGCGGTGAAGAGGCGCCAGTCGTCGACATCGATCGCCGACGTGCCGCAGAGAAGCAGCTCGAGCTCCTTGTAGTCGAACGGCAAGAGGAGTTCTTCGGGCAAGACCGTGTAGAACCCATGCACGAGCGCCGACACTTGGTCTCGAATGCGGTCAAAGAGGAGGTACTTGGTCATCGCCTCCAAGTACTCGGTGCGGTTTTCATTCGTGACGGCGATCTGCGCGCCAAACGGCACCAGCTCGACAATCGTGTCATCGGGCCCGTGGACCGTAAAATCGAGCGCCAAGTCGTCGACGCTCGGCGCGTCACGAATGTAGCACATGCTCGCATACACGGTCGCGTCCCAATGCATGACGTCGTCCATCGAGAGCGGCGTGCCAAGAAGCGCCTTGAAGAGCGGGACGCAGAGGTGGCACTGCAGCACTTGGCCATCGAGGATCGCGCGTGCGAGGAGCCGGCCAAACGCCTCGAACCGCGCGAGATGCGTCTCGCCATGATCGCGCGCCGAGTGCGGGTTGATGCCGAACGACCGCTCGGCTTGGTTGGCCGCGATGAAGAGGCCGGTGGACGGTTCAAAGAGCGCGTGGGTGAGAAGCGTGTACCACTCGCGCTGGAGCCCACCGGCGTCCACACCGCTCTCGCCATAAAGCGACACGCGCGTGAACGAGCAGAGCTTGTCTTGCGGCAGCGCGAGTAGAATCTCGAGCGACTCGGTGAGGATCTTGTCCCGGTACACCTTGACCTTGACCTTCTCCGTGTACGAGGCCGCGATTTGCTCCAGGAGCCAAATGTACTTGATCGAGAACGATTGAAGGCGGAGCGACTCG